TACATATTCTTATTGCTCGATAATAAAATCATATTCCTCACTGTTGGACCGTTTTATCTCCCAGGCTGATCTCCAGTGGGTGCGGACTTGGAGTAGCTTGGTTTTAACCAGCAGTCTGTTGTCCTGCCAGGGAATAGTGCATTCTTGAAACTGCACAGGAATGCAGCCAAACGAGCGTGATCAATACCTCTCTGTATATTAGCAGTTTTTGGATGCACTCACAGCAGTGCTAGGACATTATCAAAGTTAATGCAGTGGCAGTCTGTGTCCTCAGCCTCTCTCTCTCTCTTTTTTCTCTCCTCCCTTTTCAAAGTGCTGCACACACTTTGGAGAGAGACTGAAATTGTATACTGTGCAAGTGTATTCTTGGAAACGACCGTAAGGTTGAGGACACCTTTTAGGACACAAGTATTATTAGATATTTTGTACATGTGCCACTCGGTTATTATTAACGCAAATCCATAATGCAAATCTACTGCATTTGATGGAATTGTACAGTTTTAAGGTTTCTTTGTGCTGAACTTTAAGGTGGGGCATTCTAATATTTTCTTTTTTGTTGACAACAACATAAGTATGAAAACTAGAAATTGCGCAAGCAAAATAAGTTTGTCTTACTTAATATAACAGCTAAAATAAAAGAGAGAAATTAAAACCTTAAACATTTTTGCCCTTTCTCAGGTCCCACTGCTCTTTTGGCACATGGAATATGCTATGGCAGCACAGTCACTACACATCCTGCCATGAAGGAGAAGATGATGGTTGACGGTAAAAAAATATATATATATTTTTGTACCATCAATGGTTTTAAATCTGCTTGAGTAGTACAGCATTAAGAATTGTAACTACTTGTGACACGCAGCAGATGGTGCTGTTCAAGCATTTAGTTTGCCTGTGGAGAATCATTCCAGTGTAGCTGGATAGCACAGCATTTGGAGGTAAAGCAGGAATTTGACAGAACATGCTAGAACCAAGTCTGTTCAGATGATCCCAGTTTGTGTTTATACTGCACGTGCTTCAAGTACTCTGACGCCTGTAGTTTCTTTTGCTCTGTCTTTTTTTAGACCACTATAAATATTCAGAGGCCCGAGTGCAGAAGGATGGCCATTACATCACCAGCCGTGGGCCAGGAACCAGCTTTGAGTTCGCCCTGACGATTGTAGAGGAACTCATGGGGGCTGAGGTTGCAGCTCAAGTCAAGGCTCCTCTTATTATGAAAGACTGATGGTTCACTTGTAATCCTGTAAGCTGCACTGCCCAGTATAACGCTCTGGAAAAACTGAGACAGCTGGTATAGTTTGGCTTTAGCTGAAAGGAATGGTAACAAATTATTTTTCTATCAGACACGAGTCTTGATTTTTATTTTATTTTTTTTTCATTACACTGGTTACAAACCATCTCAAAAGTCACTTTAACCATGAAAATGTGGTGTGGAAATTTATTAAAGAGGCTTTAGTTCATGAACCACCACCTCCTTTTTTTTTTT